AAGAACTTGAAATAAAACTGAAGAGGTCTCCCAGCCAAAAAAAAGTGAATTCTGGGGCACCTGGGTGGCTCAGTCTGTTAAGCATCTGACTTTGGCTCAGGTCATGATCTCATGGCTGATGGATTTGAGCCCCACATCTGGCTCTGTGCTGACAGCTCACAGTCTGGAGCCTGCTTTGGATTCTGTGTCTTCCTCTATCTGCTTCTCCCCTGCTCATGCTCGCTCACTCGCTCTCTCTCTCTCTCTCTCGAAAATAAATAAACATTAAAATAAAAAAGGAAAGTGAATTCTGTCTACTCTTCTCTTATGGAATTGAGGCTAGTTTGATATACATGCATAAAATGTACTAAAGCCATCTTGATTTCAGGCCATGATATGGAACTTTTCTTCATAAACAAATGACTGTAATATGATCTTTTATTTTGGGTGTTGTGGGTGGGAGGAGTCAGGTTAGTTAAACAAGGGATTTTCTGTTGTTTTCTCTCTTCAAGAGAACATGCTGAGAAATGAAAGCATTGCATTGAGTTTTGGGTGTTGAATCTTTTCTCAACCGTACTCAATCATGGAGACAAGAAAGTAGCTACAAACAAATCATTGGTGAAACAGTGATGGTTTAAATCTATCATATGTCAACAACTCATTACTTTCTTTTTTTTCTTAATTTTTTAAAAATGTTTATTGATTTTTGAAAGAGAGACAGAGAGAGTGGGGCAGAGAGAAGGAGTCACAGAATCTGAAGCAGGCTCCAGGCTTCAAGCTGTCAGCACAGAGCCCCACGTGGGGCTTGAACTCATGGAGTGTAAGATCATGACCTGAGCTGAAGTCGGACGCTTAACCGACTGAGCCACCCAGGCGCCCCTCATTACTTTCTGTAGCATTATAACTACAATGAAAATGGCTGACATGAGTCTTTTCTATAGATTTTGCTCTGGGACAGGAATGAAAGGGAAAGGAAGTTTAAACTTGAGGAAAGAAGGAAAAGGCAATAAAAATTTCACTGATGTTTCCAGGAACGGGAATGATTCCAAGGATGGGAAACCAGAGAGTACAACCAGAGTACCAAGAGATAATCTTTTAAAACCATTACTAAACTTCACTTAAGTTCATATAACATCCCAACTCTTTTAAATATTTATCTTTACTGAAAATATGGTTTTTAGCATGTATTCTTATAAGAACAATTGTTGCCTTATCAACTCCTTATGAATTTCCACATGGAAGTCATAGAAACCTTTTTGCTCAAAGGTTTACCTCTTTTGCAGTATGCACATGTAAAATACCCATTTTATACCCATCTTCATACAGCTTCATACAACCTATTGAAGGTTGGACCACCCTCTGGTCTTCCTCTCTTCCATAGGGTTACACCACAGATTTGGGAACAAATTGATGGGACAGGAATCTAAAACCCCAAAATCTGGAAGGACATCTGACAGTTCTCTATATTTTTATAGAGGTACTGAGATCAGGATATTTGAAGTCAAAACTGTCTGGGGAAGTGCAGGATATATGATCACCTTAGATATGAAGTTTAGGTTCTTCCTATCGATTTCCATCTCCTTCCTCTGTATAGGTAGCCATTTCCAAAAAATAGGGGCACCTTCAGTCCATTCACCTACTGTTTACTTATTATCTACTACTTGGCTGGCATCATGGAAGTTATAAAACCAATTAAGACAATCCTTGTGTTTAGAGCACTTGAGGGTTGATTATAAAGCAATGAATATTATTTTTAGAGCAAATATCTTAAAATTTTCATGCCCAAATTGGTGGTGTCCTTCAAAGTAATTATTTTGAGGGAGGGGAAGACTATACATTTATTCCCTATTACTGTACCATCTTTCAACAATCTTTATAGATGGGCTTTTCTTTACTTTTATATTTATTAATATAGTTAATTCTTTGGCTTTTCTCCATCAAGTATTTCCAGAATGGGTCTTAATAAAACCTCAGTCCCATGTAGGACACGTTTAAACTGTGAAATGGAACATTCATTGAATGTGGAGAACTGGATTTCAGGATTTAAAATAAGCATGTTAAGTTCAGCTTGGAATCAGAGTTCACATTCTATAGATATCTTTTGAGCAAGGACAAAGGAGGGAATGAAGAAGACACTATTTTTGGTTCATTAGCAGTATAAACCAGAATTTTGTCATATTTATTTTTCTCTACACTTATGAGACTTGATTATTTAAAGAACCGTTTTCCAAACAAGTGCTAATTTGGGTCCTGGATACGATTTGATGTTACATGTTGGTGACTGTGTTGTGTGTGTAGCTCTGTGTCCATTGATAATTTATATTTTTGGTCAGTAGATGGTGCTCTTTCACTTTGAAATAAAATGTATTTTCTATTGAGGCTTTTGCTTTTTATTTTGCTTATTGTTTTGTTCATACAGAGATGGTAGAAATAAATTGGATCTGAGTCTCCTTGTCCACCTGGAGATGCATAGGAATTTTAATGTGATTATCCAATGTGTAAAGTAATAGGTTTTCAGATTAGCATACCATTCAATACTTAACTGTTAATTTGTTAGTAAGAAAATATATGTTTTCCCCTGTAGAACCATTTTATGTTATATATACTTGCCTGATACATAAGACGCTACAATTATATCTTTTATGTGGTTTCATCTGCGGTGTCCTGTATTTGATTGAAGAATGACTTGGGAAACAAACAAAATGCCAGTTACTGGATCCTGGAGACCCAGGAACGTATATTTTAGCAAGTGCTACAATTCAGTGTAATCAGGTATGTTTTGAGAAGTGCCAGATTCTAATCCCCCAGGAGTAAGCATTTTCAATAGAGAATAACATCAGAGTCAGCATACAGTAATTGAAACCAAAGTCAAACATAGCTGAGATCAAAATTTTGAATGTAGACTGCTCGGAATATAAATATTGCCTACAGGAGTTATAATGCATATAATAAAAATTATTGAAGAAAATGCTTTTTTTTTTTTTTTACATTACTATGGTAAAGTTGGTGATAATCCTACAGAGAACAAGTGGTTTCTGTTAGAATGCACCAAAGAGCAAGCAATGTGGACACAATGCCGTACCACCTTGAGTTTGTTGGACATCGATTTTGCCCTACTTTTAGGACCCTTGCCTTATAATACTTGATACTTTAAACAAATTGTAAGGTCTTTCATCTTCACAGTGTCCCTGTTACATGGCAATTGTCAGAGGAAGGATTAAAGAACGGGTTAAGGAAAAGAGTCTAAGGCCAAGGGCAGCTCCCAGGAGACAGTCTGGGGGGGGTTGGTGGGGGGCTAGAGGTGATGGCATTGACTCAAAATACAGTTGCTGGAATGTCTCCCCAGGAAGCCAGATGCATTCCTTAGTTCTGAAGCTTGGTGGTGCACTGTTGTTGACTATGATTGTTCTGTCCTGGTCCTAAGAGCCAGTAGCTTTAGGACAGGGTTTCCTCCCTCCTTCCCATCTCTCCCATCTCTCCTATCCATCCTTCCTTCCTTCCTTCCTTCCTTCCTTCCTTCCTTCCATCCATCCATCCATCCATCCGTCCACCCATACATCCATCCTTCAGTTGCTCATTTTGACCTTGTTAATGTGACATGCTCATCATGGCATTGATTTTCAGATGGACTGCTGGTTGAGGATGGGTAAGTCATGATACCAGGGAAGTACATGTACTTTGATAAAATTCCCACCAGGTGATTCTCTTTTCTTATCCTAGAGAATTGATGGTTTGGAATTCTCAGCTAACATTTCCTGACCCTGTTGTTGATCTGAGGTGTAATTCAGTGTAGGATGGACTCCACAGAGAAGGTGGCGTGTTATAGGCAGTCAGTAAGATTGGCATCACTAATGATGGTGATGATGATGCTCTGTTATCCAGCTTTATTGCTTTCGTGATATCACTTTATCATAAGGCTAGTGGTATGGAACTTCTGGCTTACCTCAAAATGGTCTTGGTCTCTGTCAGGCTACCCATGGGGTAATAGAGCACCCTATTATGGCAGAGACTTAGAAAGAGAGAAGAGACACGTCCTCACCGGAGAGTTTTAACTGTGATGTTTCCCTTCTTCTGAAGATTCTAGCTTGGCCAGCTGTCTCATCTCCTCAAAGCTTTTACTCAGACCTCACTTTCTGAATCAGGCCTAATGCACTGACCCCTTCCCACAGCTGGTCCTCCTCATGCTTTTGTCTCGTTCTCCTCTTCATAACAGTTATGTTAGAATACACTAGATAATTTGTTTATTTGATTTAGTTTTGTCTCCCTGTACAAGACTGTCAGCTCCATGTGGACAAAGGTCTTTTTCTTCACTAATATATCCCTTGGGCCCTAGAATAGTGCCTGGTACAGGAAATACTTGCTGAATGAATTAATGCTTTCCTTTATAACATTCTGTGGCTGTAATAAGTAACACATATAGTATATATTAGCCATTTAACACTAATTCTGAATAAATATTAAATATTACTGAATGAAGATTATGTTTTATTCTGTTAACCTTGACCTGTAAAGATAACTTCTGAATTAGGTTAGCACATGGTTTAAAGTCTGGATGCAGAGTTGGAAGACATGAGATTATAATGAATGAGCCTATTGGTGGTTTTCTAGGGCAAGTTACCTGCTCCATGCCTTAGTTTCCTCTGGAAATAACCTCACAGAACTGTGATTAAATTAGCTTATGGATTAAATGAGCTCATGCATCTAAAGCCCTAGATAAGGGCTTGGGGTATAGCAAGAATGTAGTCATAAATTGAATTTATAGATTCTTGTTTAAAAAAAAATTATATGATAAACTTACTTTGCAGGTAAGTGATTTGACCAGTTGTCAGAAGGAAAAGACCACACAGATAAATGTACAACTTGGAGATTTTCCATATTCCTGTCTTAATTGCAGTGTTAACACACCTAGAATGAATCAAATATTGAATTTCTTATGGAATCTGTTTTCTTATATTGTAACATCAATTTTAAAACAAAGAGTTTTAGGGGTTTCACATGAGCCCTTTTTTGATTTCTTATAGATCCCCATATTAAGGTTTCTGGAAAGAAAGAAGATGTTAAGGAGGCCAAGGAAATGATCATGTCTGTCTTAGACACAAAAGTAAGTGAATGTTAAGGACACTCAGATGTCAGAACCTTGTCTCTGCAAGGGCTACTTCATGCTGTTATGAAAAGAACCATTTGGAGAAGAAAAACCAGGAGAAAGTAATGGTGGGTTTTAAAATAAGCATGTGTGTTTCTACAATGGATGTAAAATTCTGTTTAAAATTTGAATGGGTTCTGTCATGCTGGGTAATTGAGTGATATTTTCAGAAATCAACACTGACCCTGATTAGTGTGGGGCAAATAATGAAGTTTAGGAGAATTAGCATATTGCCTTTATGATGCCAGAATGATCTTCTATATAATTGTGCGTGATGGCATGAAACCTGACAGTTTCTTTTGTAAGTTCTTTCTCTCTGCATGTATAGGTATAGAGAGATAATAAGGAAATTTAGATGTGTAAAAATAAACACTCCCTTGTGAGAATTTATTCTAGTAAATATTTCTAAATCACTTAGTATATGTCAGGCACTTTGCTGAGCATTTTACAAATACTAATTTGTTTAATGCTTATAAACTAACTCAGCACAGAGATATTAGGGAATTTTCCCAGAATCTGTAGCTAATAAATGGAGAAGTGGGATTTAAATCCAGGATGTCTGGTTCTTAACCACTGTGTTTTGCGACCTGATATTCCATTGAAATAGTTTCTGATCTCTTCCTTTTTTTTTTTTTTTTTCCTTTTCTTGTTCTTTTAATTTTTGGAATTATTCACCTTCTAATTATTAAATATTCTAATTTTTTTCCCAAAAAAGAATGTATGTTCCCTGTATTTAAAATGCTAAACTAAAAGAAGAACAAAGTTTAAAGACCAAAGTATTTAATGGATATGTTTAAAATTTAAGAATTAAGATGTAAAAACTATTGATATTTTTAATGTCTTATTTTGACTTTTTAATTTTACTTTAAAAACTGAAGGACTGAAGAATTTCGATATTAGTCTTATAAATGAGAAAATATTTCATGTGTTTATAATTGTACAATACTGAATTTCCCAAAATTAAATACATAGATTCTAACATGACCACAGTTATTCATTATGTCTTAGAATTTTACATTTTGCTTTATTATAACTAATCTTACACTTTGTACTGGTTTATGTAAGCCGTGTTACTGCTAGAGAGCTGTGCTTTGTTTTCCTTTCCTCACTCTTCTTCCTACCAGCAAGAATAGTAGATCTGCTCTGTAGTTTGGCCTATAGTAATGGACTGGTTGTGAAAACAATGCTTACAAATACCTTTTTAGTTTTGAGTTTTATTTTTATTGTTTTCTGTCACAGTTCAACAGTCCTACTAACATACATATATTCAGTCTTGCAGTTGTTTTCATCTGTTTTTAGTTATTTGAATTAAATGTTTCATGAATAATGTCTGTTAAAGAAAAAAATGAGATGAGTAATTTATTTGTAACTCTGCCTGACTTTATTTAAATGATATTTTCCAAATAAATATCTTGTATAGCCAAAGAGAAATGATAGAAATTGCACATTTATAGATTAATATGATTCCAAAAAATCTGTAAGATTTCCCACCAGGTCACTTGTTTTTAGTACTGTCCCCTTGGATAAAATGTGTTTTAAGGAGTTGTTCCTTCCTTTTGCATGCATCAAGAAATAATACATTATTTCCATGTAGAGCAATCGAGTCACTTTGAAGATGGATGTTTCACATACAGAACATTCTCATGTAATCGGCAAAGGTGGCAACAATATTAAAAAAGTGATGGAAGAAACAGGATGCCACATCCACTTTCCAGATTCCAACAGGAATAACCAAGCAGAAAAAAGCAACCAGGTGCTTTGTCTTTTCACATGAACTGTTATGGGACAGATTAAAGCTTTGATTTTCCATATGCATATCTTTTTTGGGAGATGAAAGCAAAAAAACAATCATGGAGATACCATATTGATTTTACTAATATGTGACTATACAGAAATGAATGAATAAGCAAACACCAGAATCAGACCTTTAAATGCAGAGAACAAACTGATGCTTCCTAGAGGAGAGGGGGGATTGGGCAAAATGGGTGAAGGGGAGTGGGAGTTACAGGCTTCCAGTTATGGAATGAGTAAGTCATGGAAATAAAAGGCACAGCATAGAGAATATAGCCAGTGGTGTTGTAATAGCAACATATGATGATAGATGGTAGCTATGGTGAGCATAGCATAATGTATAAGCTTGTCAAATCACTGATGTTGTACACCTGAAACTAATGTAACATTGTGTGTCAACTATACTAAAAAATAAAAATAAATAAGAATGTATGACTCTTTCCCAGGAGATTGAAGGTGCTCTACTTTTTTAAAGAGATGAATTATAGGTAGGCCATAAAGTGCTTATCTCTAACTGGTTGGTAGAAGAGAGAGGAGCAACATAAATGCGATGGCAATATAAAACGAAGTCCCTAAGGAAAGACCCAGGGAGCATTACATTAGGAAAGGACCTACAGCCTTGCCTGTTCCAAGAACCTGTTCAGTGTGGGGATTCTGTTGGTAGCATCATACCCGTGGTTCTCCAGGGTACACCAGATCACCTGCTCAGAGGCCACACACGAGTGCCCGACTTCCTCACGTTGGTGGAATTATGTTTCTCTTTAGTTTATACACGTTTTTTCTAGTTCTTGTATTTGAAAACAAATGAAACTTACCTGTCCATACAAAGCACTTTCAGTACTTGAAGAACAGATAGAATTATTTGTGTTATTTGGAAGTTTTCTCTCTAATCACAATACTAGAAACTGTCAGCCTCAAAGAAGAATAGGGTAGTCTTTTCTCTATGAGGACTAATGGTGATGGTGACACACACATAAGGAAGATAGAAAGCAAGGGCAGTATTCAAAACATTTGACAATTGGTATGGCACGGGGCATGGTCCATTAGGAGCAGTGTCCTGGAGCCCTACACCCTTGCTCTCATGTCAAGATTAATTCTTTTTTTGTTTTTTTAAATATTTTTTAATGTTTATTTTTGAGAGATAGAGACAGAGCACAAACGGAGGAGGGCAGAGAGAGAGGGAGACACAGATTCCGAAGCAGGTTCCGGGCTCTCAGCTGTCAGCACAAAGCCTGATGTGGGGCTTGAACTCACGAGCCATGAGATAGTGAGATATGACCTGAGCTGAAGTTGAACGCTTAACTGACTGAGCCACCCAGGCGCCCCCAAGATTAATTTTTTACTTGATGGATCGTGGGAAAGTTCAGGGGATCCCAGGAGAGAGCTGGAGGTGGTGTTGAAGCAATAGTTTTTTTTAACCAATTAGCATGAAGTGGTTCAATATTTTGAGTACTGCAGCAATATCATTGTATATTGATATATTGTACAGAGTTGATATACAGTATGCAGAGTTTAAACAAAAGGTAGAAAATGCAGTAAACGAGAAATGAGAAGGGGAGCAGGATGGGATTATGGGGACTGTGAGGCTTACATAAGTCTGGGGGTTGATGTAAATCAGTTGACACAAATCAGCTGAGGAACTTGTTAAAATGCAAATTGTGATTAAGCAGGTCTGGGTTGGTGCTTGAGACCCTTCATTTTTAACAAGCTTCTAGATAATGGCAGTGCTGTTTTTCCTGGATGACACTTTCAGTGGCAAGGGTGTAGATAGCTGGAAAAGCAGATGTGGGCTCAAAATAAATCTACTGTATTTTCTTATTTTTGCAGGTATCTATAGCAGGACAACCAGCAGGAGTAGAATCTGCCCGAGTTAGAATTCGGGTAACTATTTATTACTTTAATACTGTAAATCAGTATCAGCAGTGTTTGCATCATAAGACAATAAAAATATCTTAGTGTATCAATTTATAACCAAATCATATGTTCAATCGGTAGGAAATAGTGACAGAAGTTGTTTTAATGTGTTGAAGATGTTTCTTAGTGATGTTCCATTTTGTACCTGACTCCGTTTCTCTGATGATTTTGAGATGATCAGAAAGAGGCCCGAGGAAGAATACCACAGGCAGTCTAGGTTACAAACTCTCTGGTTTCACAGACTCCTTTTATTCGAGAAACTACCTAGTTTGCTCAAGCTTATATCTGTAATAAAAGCAATTTATGTTTTAGAATTCCATCCTCAGAAAAAAAAGAACAAGTTATGCATATCTCTAAGCATGCAGTGACTCAACTCTCTGCCTCGGGCTCTAATACTTTCATTTAGGAGCTGCTTCCTTTGGTGCTGATGTTTGAGTTACCAATCGCTGGGATTCTTCAGCCAGTTCCCGATCCTAACTCCCCCTCGATTCAGCACATATCACAAACATACAACATTTCAGTGTCATTTAAACAGCGTTCCCGAATGTATGGTGCTACTGTGATAGTACGAGGGTCTCAGAATAACACCAGTGCTGTGAAGGTAAGTAATTGAGATAATTATGAACATTGTAAGTGTACAAATTATGCAAGTTTTACTTTCAGAGGATTTTAGATTAATCCGTTTTCTAGAATTTTTCCTTGTATTGCATTATGGGTTATAGAATTCTTTGAATTTCTCTGTAGCAATTAGAAGTACGCTAGAATCTTTCCTTGTATATGGACAGTCATTTTATAGGATTATTTCCCACCCTTTTCTCCTAGGAAGGAACCGCTATGCTGTTGGAACATCTCGCTGGGAGCTTGGCATCAGCTATTCCTGTGAGCACACAACTAGATATTGCAGCTCAACATCATCTCTTTATGATGGGTCGAAATGGAAGCAACATCAAACATATCATGCAAAGAACAGGTGCTCAGATCCACTTTCCTGACCCCAGTAACCCACAAAAGAAATCCACTGTCTACCTCCAGGGCACCATTGAGTCTGTCTGTCTTGCAAGGCAATATCTCATGGTAGGTTTATTGATATTAGTGTTACTATTTTATTTTACTTCGTTTACTTCTTTGAGTACAGTATATGTTGGCACACATACCATACTACTGGTATTTATGAAAACATTTGGAAGCCTTGTCAGATAAGGAAGTTTCTTGGTAAAGGCAAATAAAATAAGAGTAAAGTATGTAGTACCTCACAAGCTTAATTTCATTGCATAGGTGAGTAATTTATTTGCTGTATTTTTTTTAACTTAAACTAAACACAAAAGAGGATACAGTGAAATAATGGGCTGTATTTTGTAGGAGGTGATTATTTTCATCTGACATGTAGTATTAGTTTGCATTTGACAAAAAAAGTCTTCTGTTTAAACAGAAAAGTAAAAATAACTTTTTACCCTCAAAGACATAAATTTTAGTGGCCTGAAACATTTTAAAATTTCAAAAATCTCTGATACAATTTAAAAAATGGAATTTAAGCCTTGAATTTGAGTCTTAACGCATTGAAGAGAATAGCAATTATATAATTTGATACTGGTTCCGATTTAAAATTTGCTATATTTCTGTCCTTCCTATATTCATTTAAAAACACAGTGTGGGGGTGCCTGGGTGGCACAGTCGGTTGGGCGTCCGACTTCAGCCAGGTCACGATCTCGCGGTCCGTGAGTTCGAGCCCCGCGTCGGGCTCTGGGCTGATGGCTCAGAGCCTGGAGCCTGTTTCCGATTCTGTGTCTCCCTCTCTCTCTGCCCCTCGCCCGTTCATGCTGTGTCTCTCTCTGTCCCAAAAATAAATAAACGTTGAAAAAAAAATTTTTTTTAAAATAAAAAAAATAAAAACACAGTGTGTAGGTTGATACATAGTAACAAAGTGGATTGACACAATGTGGGCTCATAAATATTCTTATTAAAAACACCATTTTATTCTGTTCAAGAACTTGATCTATAATGATATTTGAATCAGTAACCTTCGGGTGTGATCTTTGCTATTGTTAACTCACAGAATTTGTTTTTGAGAAACTTTAAGAAAATCCAAATTTTTATTATTGATTCCATTCCTCTGACAGATAAGAACTTGTTACAGTCATTAAGCATACATAATTATTTTGTTGTGAATGATTTTTTTTAGCCAAGCTTAGTTTACCAGACTACTTTTAAAATATCACTAGTTAGGTAGCATATTTGTATCCAAAGATTATTATGATTACTTTTCATAATTTTCTTTTTTTCTGATTTTTAAGTTCTTGAAGTATTATTTTAAGTGAACTTTTTCAGGCATTCTATGCAGTTAGGAGTTCATATTCATGCTTTGACCGTACCTGCCAAAAATACAAGTGTGCAATGAGATATATTATTGTACAATATTGAAAGAAGTGAGGAAGAGAGGAGTAAATTAAAAGGCTTTTAATCTATATTTTAAATCCAAAAATCACTTTTATCCACAAGGAAAATGAAGCACAGTAATTTCACTTTAATTCCAGTGTATTTGGCTGTTATTTCTCCTGATACTTATATACAGAACCCAACTAGTACTAGGCAGGCTGGTACTGAGCATCCTGTGAATCAGTAAAAGTATGGGATGTAGTTCCTATATGTAGTAGATTCGGGGCCAGGAAGAAAGCATCAGAGAAAGAAACAAGTGCTAACCTGTGCAGTGCTAAAAAGTGAGAAGGCTAAAAGAAGGAACAGTAGTAGCAGTTTACCTCAGGAAGGAGATAAGGTTGGAGCTGCAGCAGAAGAGAGGTAGGACTTTGGTTGGTGAAGAAGCCTTTTGGTGAGTTGAGACCAAAGTACAGTATCTGTTTGAACAGTGGTCAAGAGGCCGGTCTAACCTGGGGAAGGGACAGATGTATAGACATACAGACCTGTGATTGCACAAGCAAAGGGCCAGAGTGTGGACATCTCTACTGATACATGTTTAGATTTCATTCAGAAGGCGACAAAAAATCACTACTGTAAGTCTTTGAGCAAAAGCACAAGATTCATACTCTTGATCTGGATGAGAATCTAATTTCTGGCATCTGTAACAAAACTGAAGTCAGAGAATGGAAGAGTTTTCCAAGGTGGAAAGTGAGTAAAAAAATTCAGAGCCAATAACAGAAAACTTCAGACATGTATAATGTTGTCTTTTAAAAAATAGTTTATGCCCTCAGTATTATTTCCACACCAGTTTTCTAAGCTTTGTTAAAGTATGTAATTTAGCTTTAATACTTGGGTTTATTCTTTAAGCCCATAGAATATTGCATTATTTGTAGGCACGTTAAGTTATCAGATGTTTAAATGAGTAATGTTTTTACCTCTGACACTCTCTTTTGTGACACTTCGTAGGGTTGTCTTCCTCTTGTGTTGATGTTTGATATGAAGGAAGAAATTGAAGTGGACCCACAGTTCACTGCCCAGCTGATGGAACAGCTTGATGTCTTCATCAGCATTAAACCGAAGCCGAAACAGCCAAGCAAGGTGGGTTCAGAGTCCAGACCCAGAGCACCACGTTCCAGCTAGTTCTGTTTTCATATAAATGTTATTTGCATATACATGGAATTAAATATTCTATATAATATATATATCATTATGTATTATACTTAGTTATTTAAATACATAAATTTGTACCATTCATTATTGATCATCATTTTATTTAAATATGGGTTGGTTTTGGAGTCCATATTGAATGACCATTATTTTTTACAAATATATGAGAAGAGAAAATACATTTTTATTAATTTGCAGTCTGGTAACTTTCAGCTTTGTTAAGTTATCAGAGAGTTAAATAAGGCTAAACATTGTGTTAAGTGTGCATGTGTATGTGTACATATCCAGTGCAATTCAAAAATATTTAGCTTACGTACTCTGTGAGCCACTCTGCTGGCCCTGGAGACTTAAAGAATAGGTGCCCGTTCTCTTTAAGAAAATAAAGTGATAATAACGATCAAAAGTAAATAATGAAGTATTCCCAGTTCAGCCTTCTTGGAACTTCTCCTCTAAGATCTTGCAGAATTTCAATAATTACATGTATAGTCAAAATTTAATAGGATAAACCTGATGATGTTAAATGCTAGTGAGAATGTGAGGGAAGAGGAATGTTCCTACATTAATGTTTGGTAAATTGGCACAGCCACTTTGAGGAACAATAGCAACTGTCAGATCACACTGAAAATATTGATAGCCTCGACCCCCCAGTATTTATGCCTAGTTATACACCCTGAAGAGACCTTTGTACCAGATGTCAGAAGACAAGAAGCAAGTTGCTTCTTTTAACATGTACTAATGAAATCATTTATGAAAATTTTTATTCTAGTAGTTAAAACACGTAACAGTTATGCTTTCCATTTTTTAATTTTTGTTAATCTTGTTATGTGTATCATGGTGTAAGTATAGTATGTATCATGGACAATTTTGTATATATGTAAATACCATGGCGTTCAGTGTCTAAAGAAAAACAATCATGCCTTCTTCAAAAGTAAACTTTAAAGGAAAAGATAGGATTGATTCTAAGTGAGCTTAATATAATGAGTTTAGAGTTAGAGAACAGGACATTAATTTTATGTATCTTGAAGCTTCATGCTTGACTAATTTGAGTTGACTGAAGTCACTGTAGATACCAGGACTAAAAGCTAAAGACAGAAGAGATTTTGTGCATATAAAGAGAGTCAAACACATGAGAAATTCCTGGAGCTTAGTAAGAAATGAGCACAGATCAGGGGAAAATAGATTGTGAGAATTCTAAAGCCTTTTAGCGTCCCAGGGCCATTTAATTCTTCCTAGCTGGCCCTGAAGCTGACTACTGCATTAACTGCTTTCTCAGTCACAAATTTTCTTTATTGCCCATTGGAGGCTCTCCCTCTTGAGTTCACACTTCCAATTTTCTAGATGAGTCCATTGAGAAAAAATATATTGTTTAGAAATTTATTTTACCATGAGCTTTGCCATAGATATCAGTGAGGAATCGTGGTACCTTAAGGTCTATTAGTTAACTAGTAGGCTATAAATGTCAAATGTAAGTGACTGTTATTATGCAGTCTGTATGTAGTGACTAGTTTGATTTGTTTTGTAAAGATGAGATAAAGGGCAGAAAGCATTAATGTAAAAAAAAGCAAGTGGACATAAAGAGAATGGGCTGTAGATGCGAACGACCTGAGGTCCAGTCTTCTCGCTGCCCCTCCAGCTAGGCTGTGCCTGTGGATAGGTCCCTTATCCTCACTAAATATGAATATTCATTCCCACCCAGAAGGTGTCTGCCAGGCATTTAGATGTATGTGCAGTTTCAATCACAGTGCCTGGCACACAGGACATACCCAATAAAATGTCACTAACATTTTATGGTTTTACCAAAAGGAATAAACATAAGAAATAAGCGGTTAGAATTTTTAATTGATTTTATTTTTTTTTTTATTTTTTTTTTCAACGTTTATTTATTTTTGGGACAGAGAGAGACAGAGCATGAACGGGGGAGGGGCAGAGAGAGAGAGGGAGACACAGAATCGGAAACAGGCTCCAGGCTCTGAGCCATCAGCCCAGAGCCCGACGCGGGGCTCGAACTCACGGACCGCGAGATCGTGACCTGGCTGAAGTCGGACGCTTAACTGACTGCGCCACCCAGGCACCCCTAGAATTTTTAATTGATTTTAAAACAGCATTGGTTCCCTGACTGGAATCCTTTTTACCATATTCGTTTCTCACCCACCTCCCAATACATTGTATTGCATATCACCTTTTTCTTTCCCATTATGTGTTTTCATAGTCTGTGATTGTGAAAAGTGTTGAGCGAAATGCCTTAAATATGTATGAAGCAAGGAAATGTCTCCTCGGACTTGAAAGCAGTGGGGTTACCATAACAACCAGTCCATCCCCAGCATCGTGCCCTGCCGGCCTGGCATGTCCCAGCCTGGACATCTTAGCTTCAGCAGGCCTTGGACTCACTGGACTAGGTATAAAATTTATTATTATAGCGCTTCTCAGTCACTGGGGGATTGCTTAGCCAGTTCCCTTTCTTTCTACCTTTTGGGGCTACATTTTAAAGGCTTTTTCTCTCATCAGGCTCTAAGATCAAGTGAAAAAGCAACAAAACTCACATCAATCCATTTTGGGTTTTTTTGTTAGAATATAGATTTTTGTTACTCAGATTCTTTTTATTTCGGCATAAATAATCGAGGTCTAACTGTTTCATTTTCAGTGGCTGTGTTTGTTCTTTTAAATTAAGAATGCCATTGAGAGTGAAGTGAGCAGGCTAACTATAATTTATGTGTTTGTTCTCTCTTGCATTTGCAATATTGCCATCCATCCCTAGAGGTAAAGATTATCCAGTGTGCTTTTCAAAAAGTAATTGCAGGTCTGTATGAGGGGTAGGGAGAGGGGGAAGTGAAAGTGAGCAGAACCCCCACTCCCAGAGGTCAGAACTGCCTCATCCAGATGCAGAGGAAATCTAGCCTGCGGCCACCAAGAGGGGCAAATGGACTTGTATTTATATCTAAGGTGAAGAAGATGAAAAAGAAAAATAAAAGATGAAAGAGCATCACCCCCTCAGTGCCTTAGTTCTTTGAGAAAGTGAGGTGAGGCGTTTCATGGTTGTGATGATATGTACTGCCTCATTTATGGATTTCCATCTGACAGGCTAAAGTTCATTGCCATGTTGCAGTTATGCTAGTTCACTACTTTCTTGCACATTTTTCAGTAGCCTTAATATAAAAAGTGAATGTAATAACCCTAGAAAATCATTCTGCCTCACTCAGTGTTGATCTGAGACAGAAAAAATACTCTCAGCGTTCTGTAAACTTTTTTCCTAATGGTTATTTCATGCTTTAAAAATTATAATATGGTTATAATATAATTAAGATTCCAAGTAGCCCTGTCTAGGCATCATTACAGTAAAGACAGACTCTTTTTCCCTTGGCCTCTAATCTCCCAAAGTTGTCCGTTCCACTGGAGACCTGGACAGTCATAATAACATATGCATGTGAATCAGGAAGTGGCAGGTAAGAGAATTTAGCAGGAACCAAGTTGTTCCTGCACTAGAGAGAAAAAAGTGAGCAAAGATTCAGTTACTCAGGTTTTTAAATGTTTTCATGTCTGTACCTATCCTGTAATACTTAATACTTTAAATATTCCTGGAAAATTGTATACAATTTCATATTTTACTTTAGAATATATTTTAAATGCCTGAAGGAAATTTTCATTACTTAAATCAAACATTAAATCCTTTAAACAAGCAAGAAACAAAAAATCGTTTCTGAGGAAAGTTTCATACACATTGAGATGGAATACCAGAGAGGTTGTTTTGACACATGAATGAAAACTGTTCCAAGTGGCTCGGCCTATCCACAAATGGGCCAAATGAAGTTATTCTGCTACAGGAGAACATTCCCCTGTTCTCTGCTACATGCAGGTGGTTTGAAAAGAGTTAGTTTGGAAACCGAAAACAGTGAGTTATGCAGAGAAATAAAAATGAGCTTCCACTTGAACAGAATTTGGTTCATCCTCGCTAGTTGAGATGAATGCAGAGCAGCTGGCAGTGCTCAGGGACCCTGATCGTTTCCCTGGTTTGCACACACCTATCTCCCATTTTCTGACCACCATATGTTTGTGGATAGTCTGAGTTCTGTGTCGGAGTTGTATCATGCAATATTTCACGTGGATGTTTGAAAGAAGGTAACCTGTTCTTTATATTTGGAAAATATCAGATTATATCTGTGCATTCCAACTGGCAATATTGGTGCCATCTGTATCTTCAAATCTTGAATTTATGCATATTGACTTTACATTCATTTATTGCAGGTCTTTTGGGGCCTACCACCTTATCTCTAAACACATCAACAACCCCAAACTCACTCTTGAACGCTCTTAATAGCTCAGTCAGTCCTTTGCAAAGTCCAAGTTCTGGCACCCCGAGTCCCACATTATGGGCACCCCCACTTGCTAACACTTCAAGTGCTACAGGTGAGTATAATTCAAATACAGTCAAAGGCATGCATTCTTAGGTATCAGTTTTTAAGTAAAATTCACTAATGGCTCTGTTTCCTTAGGGAAAAATTATGGTTCAAAGCATACTGCAGGTAAACACAAATTCCCCAATGTGTAAATTAGTTAAAATGAAGCATGACAAAGCAGTGAGTTTTTCATAAAAGTGAAATACAGTCTTCAGACCTGACAAGCAGATCAGGAAGAAGAGTACGATGAGCAGGAAGCAGTGGCAAAGACACCAGAAGGTCACTGACCTGGTAATTAAGAAATGTAGGGGCGCCTGGGTGGCGCAGTCGGTTAAGCGTCCGACTTCAGCCAGGTCACGATCTCGCGGTCCGTGAGTTCGAGCCCCGCATCAGGCTCTGGGCTGATGGCTCAGAGCCTGGAGCCTGTTTCCGATTCTGTGTCTCCCTCTCTCTCTGCCCCTCCCCCGTTCATGCTCTGTCTCTCTCTGTCCCAAAAATAAATAAACGTTGAAAAAAAAAAAAAATTAAAAAAAAAAAATAAAAAAAAAAAAAAAAAAAAAAAAAAAAAAAAAAAAAAAAAAAAAAAAAAGAAATGTAGGTTCCATTCGGACAGATGTGCTTGGTAGTCATATGGACATGCTAAATCTAGCTTGTTTCCTCATCAGTACTATGAAGAGCTTAGATTAAATTTTCTCTAAAGTCTTGTTCCATTTTAACATTATTTTGTGTTTTTATAGTAATGTTAAACCGTTTTACAGAGAAGGTATCAAAATTGAATTCTCTTCTGAATTTATAGCAAAAAAATGAGGGGTTTTTTTTTTTCTGAAAATAATAAAGTAATGTTTGTTGAATCTGAGTTTTTTCCAGTCTAATATCTGTCTTCATGAAATGTTGTTACAGGTTTTTCTGCTATACCACATCTTATGATTCCATCTACTGCCCAAGCCACATTAACCAATATTTTGTTGTCTGGAGTGCCCACCTATGGGCACACCGCTCCATCTCCCCCTCCTGGCTTGACTCCTGTTGATGTCCATATCAACAGTATGCAGACAGAAGGAAAAAAAATCTCTGCTTCTTTAAATGGACATGCACAGGTAATGTCCTTTGCTAGAGTAGTGTGATCTATGCTGTTTCTAAGAGATAAGCCACTGGTAATATGTTTAAACTTTCACCTGCAATGAATTTTAGAATTGTGACCATATCTGTATGTTATTTTCTATTATTATTTTAGTCTCCAAATATAAAATATGGTGCAATATCCACCTCATCACTTGGAGAAAAAGTACTGAGTGGGAATCACAGTGATCCATCTAGACAAACAACTGGATCTGAGCAGGCATCTCCCAAATCAAACCCTGCAGAAGGTATCTTCCCTTCTGAACTTCAGCCTGGTCTGTTACTTGGATAAAGGGGGTTGTAAAAAGTCTCTGCAGTGATTTCAAGTTGGTTTTGCTAACCAGTTATGACTCATCTTGCCTCAAGGATGCAGAAAGACATCTTGAATAAAATTCCAAAGAACATGGAAAAGATAAACTGAAAAACACTTCCCACAGAAAGAAATCACTTCCCATTACATTGGAACTTCCTAAATTGAAGTGTAATTATGTAAGAGGAAGGCGTCAATTTACTAAATGTACACACGTGATTTTTTTCCAAGTAGAGTTATTTCTTTTTTTTATAACCCTTTCACCCCTAATAATCTTTTAAAAATTATGAGGGTCTCTCTTCACATTTCATCTTGGGTGAAATTTGAGACAGCTTGAATTTAAGCTGCCTTCTTTGCAGTTGAAAGCTGGTATGCCTGGGTCTTCCTAGAGTTGGGTTCTGATTTGTTTCCATCACAAGTGGTCGTTGACGATAAGCTGACACTTGGATTTTCACTTTATCCCTTCTGCAGGTTGTAACGATGCTTTTGTTGAAGTAGGCATGCCTCGAAGTCCTTCCCATTCTGGGAATGCGGGTGACCTGAAACAGATGATGGGTCCTTCCAAAGTTTCCTGTGCCAAAAGGCAGACAGTAGAACTATTACAGGGCACGAAAAACTCACACTTACAGTATGTATTTTAATCTTTAAAATCCCTTGATCCTTTGAAATAAAATGTAATGGGCTGAGTTTGTTTTAAAGTTGGTAGTTTGTGTTCTTTGGATCAAGTGGATTTGATCTTCTCCAAGAGTGTTTTTTATTTTTCTTCATACTTTTCTTTTTCCTTTTAAAAATTGTATTAAGGAATAGCATCTGGTAATTTTCACTCATGTCTTCTCTATAACTGGCTAGGTTTATATCTGGGTCTTCTAAACCCATCCCTATTGTTCTGAAACTTTAGCAGGGCAATATTTACTCTCTGATTTTTCTGTTAGAAATTTTCCTGCTGTTTGGGGCGCCTGGGTGGCGCAGTTGGTTAAGCGTCCGACTTCAGCCAGGTCACGATCTCGCGGTCCGTGAGTTCGAGCCCCGCGTCGGGCTCTGGGCTGATGGCTCAGAGCCTGGAGCCTGTTTCTGATTCTGTGTCTCCCTCTCTCTCTGCCCCTCCCCCATTCATGCTCTGTCTCTCTCTGTCCCAAAAATAAATAAACGTTGAAAAAAAAAAATTAAAAAAAAAGAAATTTTCCTGCTGTGAATTTTCTATTTTGCTTTGAGTCTTTAACTTAAACTATGGCTTCCTTATTTCAAGGTAGTTAATTGCTAATTTTGATAATAAATATTTGACAGTTTCATGATTTTATTTATTATAAACCACAGTGAGTACAATGTATTAACTGTAACTCTCCTTACCATAGCACAGTTACAGATATGTTATCCTTACTCTATTTTCTTTTCCCATTTACTTTATTTTCTTCAAATAGACAATCTATTCATACTTCAAAAATACAGTGGAAAGCTTCTGTGTTTAAAGGTTTTGCTCCCATCCATCTCCATCCACCCAATTTCCTCTACTGTCTTACTAGTTTTCTTGTATATCCTTACAGAGGAGAATATCTTAAATATAGCCTTTATATTTTTATTTCCTCTTTTTCTTACCAAATTTTTTTTTTGCTTTTATAAACCCTTTTGTCAGTTAATTACTGTTGTTCCCATTTTGTCCAAATCTGCTTTATCTGTGTTTTTCTTCACATGGTACTAAGAGCCACAGTGAACATTATTTAGCATAGGTTAGAGAGGTAAATTTGCTTTTTTCCCTGTATTGAAGCATTTGAAGGGAATGCCTTTTCCTTTCATCATTAAGTATGTTCTGAACTTACTTCTCATCTGAATTAAGCTGCAACCTCCAGAACAGTCTCCCTGCCTCCACCCTCTCAGCAGCTCAGTCAGTCCTTTATTTCCTTCCAGCAGTTTTTTGAACACACAAGTCTCATCTTATTACACTCTGGCTTTAAATGCACCAGCTGTCCACATTACCACCTTCCTTTCCTTTGCTTGTGCTGTTCCCCTGTCCTTCACGCTGGTAAACCTGCAGATGCCCTTTAAATTCCAGTTCTGACGTCCTATGTGAAGCCTTTGTGAACTTTTGTCAGCAAACAGAGTTCATTGCTCCTCCTCTTCTGTTCCAATAGCCTGTTATGAATTCTTCTGAATCCCCTGGCATGATATAATAGTGAGTGATAAAAGAAAGAATGAATGAACAGATCAGCTCTTTGACTAATAATACTGTTTCTTATTTCTCCTTTACTTAAGCTTAACCTGGAATTAGATTTGAACTTGAGGTGCATTGGTATAGGGCATTACCAATCTTGTAATTCAGATCATTTTTCCTATTTTACGGAGCCCTGTTATGTTCCTCCATGCACCCTGAACAGGTGTTGGAAATACTTATTCATCTGCTATCTGTATCTTATTAGATTTGTTAGCAATATCATATGCATTTCACATACACAAATTGGATCATCTACATGCCTTCAGATTGACTCTTTTTAGACTGCGCATGCATGACTCATTGCTATCTTCTTGATATGTGCAAATTAGAAATCTTGTCTGTGTGTCTATTCCATATGTACCATATACAATATGCCATACATACAATGTTTATCAAAGTGTATCATGAAATCATTTCAACTGCAGCTCTAGAGTCATATGCTTGGGTTCAAATTTCAGCTTTACCATTTATCAGAGGTATGACCTTGGGTAAGGTACTTCCCTTATCTGTCTACTACTTACCTCAGAGAGGGATTGTGAGGACTAAATGAAATAATACATATAAATAGCTGACAGTGGTATAGATGTATAGTAAATGTGGCACATAGGGGATGTTCAGTACATTTGTATATAAATATGGAGTGTTAAATTCCAAACTGTTTCACAGCAGTACTGACAGACTGCTCTCAGATCCTGAACTAAGTGCTGCAGAAAGCCCTTTGACTGACAAAAAGGCTCCTGGAAGTGAGCGTGCTGCTGAGAGGGCTGCAGCTGCCCAGCAGAACTCTGAAAGGACTTGCCTGGCCCCAAGGCCATCATATGTCAACATGCAGGTAATGGTAAAAAATGAGAGTCTTCTAAATGTAGGAGGTTGGGTTAGGGAATGGGAAATTCAGTGAATGGTTAACAGTAGAGCAGAATTAGGGGTTCCTTCTGCATTGTAGTCAAAATTAAATTTAAATGTATACACAATAGTTAGGAATTGGTATGCCATAAATGTTAAAAATGAAAAGCAGGAGTTAGCTTAACCAAGAAGAATTCTTTAAAATACAGTATTAAAATTGACATAAAATGTTTTACATCACTGTATCTTACACAAATGACATCACTTATCGGTCACTTAAAAAAGTTTACATACATGTGAAAGCTGTTATTTTTAAGTATTACTGCCTCATGACTTAGTCTTGGGTAAATATAATATTCTTCTATCTATTTAATGGAGATGATAAATTTAGTGTCATTTAGATAGTTATAAAAATAACTAATCTGAAGCTTTAGGTTTTTGAAAGTAAATGCTAAATATAATTGATGACTATGTTAGTTGAGAGAATTTTATGATTATTTCCTAAGCAGGGATATTCTTTCTATCCATTTTTAAAGTATTAGGCTAGTTATTCAGAGTGGACTATTTATCATGAAATTTGAAAGTTTGATTTCCGTATAAACTACAATATGAAAGGTAAAGATTTTGTACTTTGTGCTTTCAGAGATTCATATAAACATCCTATTTCAGTATCAGAATTGCTAGGTAGACTTTCCTACTTCATAGTAAAAGATGTGTTATCCACAACCCTCCCCGAACCTCCCAAAGAAGGGCATAACTTTTCACAGAATCCTAAAAACAAGCTATCACAGGTATGTCAAAGAAATTAACTCATGGAACTAAATTATACTTTTATGATGTTAGTGAAAGCTACAGTTCAGGCCTGTTTGTCTGTTTTTTTAATCCTTCACATTTGAACATTTTTATGAGTTTTTAGATAAATGTTTTTATAAAACATTTACATTTTCTCTGGTGGATTTATTTTCAGTTCACATAAATTAAAATTTTCTTATATAAGCAATTTCTAATCCCCTATATTATCCCTTTTTCTAATTTTTGTCCATCTGGTGCTTCTTTTCTGTCAGGTTTACATCTACAGTGAATCATTTTCATGTTCCTTTCTTTTGGGATGGATAAGAATGTTCTTGGTGATAGAGTTTCAACTTAAATAGATTTATTTATGTCATTAATGAAGAGCTAACTTTTAAAGTCACTAAGAACTGAATGATAATAGTCACCAAGCATTGACAGAGGGAGAGATTGAAGACTTAACTGATGATTCCTGCAGCTAAAAATGATCTCTGTCTCCTGACCATTCTTGGAATGCTGTATCTCCAGCTCTCTCTTCACACTTTTCTCACTTCCTAATTTTAGTTGTTTCTTTTACCCATCCCCACTTAAGATTATATGTTTTGAGGGTCTAGACAATTTTTGATGCATTGTTATATTCTTCCACAAAGAGCAGCACAGTCTCTTTAACCAGAACACACTCAATAAATACTTACTGAACAAGTGAATTTAAGATCTCCCCACACCTTACCAATAGACATTAATCATTACAAGTTGATTTTAATTCCCAAGGCCATTTTAGACCTAGGATTTCAAAAACATTATCGACCTGTGTTATCTAAAAACCTGGCTCTCCTCATTTACTGTCATGTTCTTGGAGTTAATCACACATCCTGGTTTGTCTGGATCAGCCCATTGACTTTTATAATTCTGGCCTAATTTTTATGTGTAGCACATTTCACTCTCAGAAGTATCCTGTTTCAGACTGCAACATACATGGGCACCCTATATATGATGGTATAGTCCTCCTGGAGGAAGGGTCAAAAGAACTCTCCCTAGTTGGTTCTTAGCCCTCCTGGTAGGCCTTTGAGACATTCTTAAGTCTTAGCTATCCCCTAAATTGGAGATCTGAGAACACTGAAGTAGCATTTGAGATGTAGCTATGTCTGGACTAATTTCTTCAAAATGCCCTGCCTTGGTCCCTACTAGACATAACTGACTGAATACTCATTTTTTCAGTATGAATGGAAAGAATGAATGATGACCTCCTAGTCCTGTACAATAAAAAGTAACTAGGTTTAATTTTATTGTATTGCTTAATGTCATTACAGATCAAAGCTAGACATTAGTCATTTATCCTACTTCAAAAGCAAAGACTATGCCAATTAGGCCAAATAATTTCTTAAGTTGTCTTAACATCATCCCATTTCATGCCATCCTTTACTTAAATGAGGAGAGGATGTACAGAAACAAAGAGGCCAGTAGATAACCAGAAAGCATTTGGGAGATGCGTGTTTTGAAACTTAGCCCTAATACTTTTAGGTTATTCACTATACTTTAGCATATATTGGCCCTAGTGCATTAAATACTCACAGTAAGTAGGATATTTTTTTCTTTTGAAGGAAAATTTCTAAATCTATCACTGTCATGTCAGAGGTAGTTAATTTATTCTAATTAATTAGTTTGAAAACATGTTGAAATGTATCAGGCTTGCACTGGATTCACATTGTGGTGCAAAGCTTAGCATGTGTCCCAGGCAGATTCATGGACTATAGTCAAAACCTTTGTTCGTAATTATGGAGTGTTGGCATGACATTTGGATAGACTGGCAATAAAGATACTTTCTGTTTTATTTTCAGGCATTTGACTATGAACAAAAGAAACTATTAGCAACTAAAGGTTTGTGCTATATTAATGATCTATATTAATATATATTAATATACATTAATATATATTAACATAATATATAATTATATATAATAATATTAATATATATAATATATATATTTTTAGTAGAGCCATAAAAGGTTTTCTAGTATTCATGTTGAATTGAGCAATTGTACCTTCATAAAAAGAAATTTAGAATGTTTAGGTTCAAGTTGTTCATAAAAAGAAATTTAGAATGTTTAGATTTAAGTTGTACACATTTTGTTGAGGTTGAATGTATTTTGTTGATTAGAATAGCATGAGATCAATTAAATAATGTAGCATTTTTCAGTTTACTTGGTATTGAGTGTTTTATGAAGCTGTTTTAAGGCATTTTATGTTAAGAAATAATTTTCAGTGATAATTTCTTTACATTTTATCAAAGAAACAACATTCATCAACATTTTATTTAAGAAAAACATTAAAAATACCAAACATTTGTTTTATGTTCTGTTTCCCAAAGCTATGTTAAAGAAACCAGTGGTGACGGAGGTCAGAACACCCACAAATACCTGGAGTGGCCTTGGGTTTTCTAAATCCATGCCAGCTGAAACTATAAAGGAGCTGAGAAGGGCCAACCATGTGTCCTATAAGCCCACAATGACAACCACTTTTGAGGTTTGTACAGTTGTGCCCTACCCATTCTTCCTGTCTGTTCTTTCAGCAAACAAGAGAGGTACCATTCTTTATTTACATAAAGAGAAGTCGTTAATGGTGATTTGTTCTAATTTCTATTCCTGTGAACATGTTGCTATCAAATTTATTCAACGTAGTATGTTACTATCTTTATATACCTTCTTTAAAAGTTGTTGATAAGCTGTTACAGAGATGTAAATTTGGATAAATGTGTTTTTGTTAGGGGGAGAAAGTGTCATAAATGATAGAGCAGGGCTGAGATTAAGCAAAGGACAGATGTACTATTCCATAAAAATATATAAAGAATCCCTTTATTTAAGAGTATCACTAGCAGGCACCAAAGGGGGAAAAAGCAAATATTCAACAAAAATAAGTTTTCAGATATGAGTTAAATATTCACCATGTTCAGATATGCCAGGAACACAGCAGGAAGTATCATAAACAAGAGCTCCAAAATTTTATGTTTCCCAGATGTTGGCTGCACTGCTCAGGGTGAGACTGGGAAGCTGGCATCCTTGCCACATGGGGAAAGGATCCAGCATTCCATACTTCTCAGCCAGGCTCCACGTGACTTGCTAAGCAAGGCCTTTTCAATCTGACAGTATCAGATTTTGGCTGTAAGCCTTTTGTGAGCCAGGGTGGAATTAGAGTACACACATGCATACACAATACTGGGGATAGAATGCAAACCCAAACGTGGATAAAAATGATTAATTCAAGAATCACAGTGTTCAACCAGAACACTGTAGGCTGCAAAACAATTACTGGTTAAGGGTTTCAAAATCATTAGCCATTGTAGATTGATCTTTTTTCTGCACCAATTTTCTTTGTAATAAATTAGACTGTTGAAGAAAGGCAAAAGGAAATATGCAATTTTTTCATTGTTTTTTAGTGTAAAAGAAAATACTAAAAAGAACAGTCTCATGTGAATTTCATTGTCAGACTTCTATCTAGTAGCAACCTGGCAGGCTGTATATAAAGATTGAAGTTACTGTCAGCAGCTAGAACACAGGAACCATTGTGAAAAATTTCGAGGTTCTATGAGGCATACTCCACTCTCTGCCATTATAGTTCTGACAGAAAATTAACATTTCCTTTTGTTGGTAGAGACCTTAAAACTGCTGTGCTACTTCTTAGGCTTTCAGTTGATACACCTATGGCCAATTTTCACGCGTGCCTTTGGCAGAGTGAAGTGTTAGGTGGTTGATCGTGTTTCTCTAGTTTCAGAGATAAAATATTTTACTCAAGAAATGCTAATTCAGATGTGTGCTTAAAGACCAACACTCTGTTAGTTTGAAATGATGATCATTCTAATAATGTAGCTGTCAAGTGAAGGGGCTGTGGAATGTGACACCCACCACTAATAAGATGTTCAGCTTTGATGAGTGACTTCTCTCCTCTGTACTTGTTTTCTAATTTGAGTTAATTTGAAGATGACCTGGAAGAAACCCTCCAGTATGTAGCACAGTGTGTGGTAAGTTCTCAGTAATATTTGACAGGTACTATTCTTTCAAATTGGAGAACTTTACCCTGAAGAAGACCAACCACCTGCTGAAAGTTGAGATTATGTCCAGCTAGATATGCTTTTTATTTCCAAAGGAATGCCTTGGAATATTATATGAACACATAATGTGCTAGTAACAATTAGCGTAAATCACATAATTTGTTTGTAGTTAATAAGGTGCATTTTCATCCTCAAGCTTATTCAGTCCCTACAAGCTCCCAGTGAGGAAAGAATGGCCCTGATCAGTTAAGTGTTTTACATGAGATCATGGCAGTAGGTGTCACAGAAAAGACTTGAATTTATTTTACAAAATTTCCTTCATACTTCTCTTCCTAATGGTTTAACCCAAGAGGGTACATAGCAAAGGTAATAAGTAAATGATCTAGAACCATGTGGCCATACTTTAACAGACATAAGATTCTCTTTAGAGAGCTTGATAAAAATGAAGATACTTCCTCCGGGATCTCATTCATTAGATGGGGAGCAAAAACCAAGAATCTACATTTTCAGGAAAAGCCTAGTACAATTCTGATGCAGACACCCTTCTGGAAACACTGCTTTACAGAGATGTAACACTAGGAGGACAATGCAGAAATTATTTCAGAACTTAAAAGACTCTTCTGCTCCAGCACTTGTCAAAGGATGGATAGACCACCTTCTGTGGGCAGGGATGTGCCAGGGTCCTGACTCAGTGGCTGAGTACAGTGGCTCCTGTAACTTTTTCTTTTGGCTATCTTGGGCTAGTCTGTTCCACCTTCCTAGTTAATATCTAGCAACCTATTCACACTGGAAGGTGGGGGAGAGGGTGTGAACACCTAGATTAGTGCATGGGCTTTCACCTCATAACCTGTTTTTGTTTATAGCCCCTTCAACAATGCTGATGAAAAGATATAACCAAGATTTCTTTGGTAATAGCATTCTAGATTTTCCCTGTTGTGTAGGACTCGAACTTTTCTTCATTCATCCCAAATCCATTGAAAGGGGATGAGAGAGTCCTTTACAATAGCATGATCTGATATTATGCAGCAGTTGCTATCTGCACATGCATGCCTTTCCCTTTATTCTGCTATAGCTCAGAAGGATTAAAAACTGAGCAGTGAGGATTGCTTCTTTGGGTTAGGACATGGAGACAGGGTGGGATAGAGAAGAAAAGTAGAGAGAACTTAAAAATCTTTATTGAAGGATTGACCACCTCTCTGCTTATATATAGCACTAATATTTTGAAATTAGAAGATGACATGAAACACTTTTTTTTAACATTCTAAAGAAAACAAAACAAACCCAAATAGACAAGTAGAATGCTGATCTATGAGGAGAAGCATGTTTGCTTAGCCAGTAGGTTCTGATGGGTATGGGCCAGGGATCAAGGCTCATGGAATTTCCTGCTCTAGGAAGCTTGCTTGAGGCAAGAAGTTGATGCTCTGAGCTTCTTATTCAGATTTCTGAGAAGCTAGACTTAAGCAGTTGTTTCCAGTTTGAGGGCAGCTTTGAGAAATGAGCCTGTTCCAAAGAGCTCCTTTAGATAAGAAGCAGGCAGCTTGAGGCATTTTTTTTTCCACTACTCAAAAATATGACCCAATCCACTTGGTCATATACTGAGACATGAAAGGTGGAACAAAAGGCTGCTTTTACCTGCATTATCTCTGTAACATCAACAGATCTACAAAAGCTCTGGGATTTTCCTTTTCTATTTGCCACTCATCTCTGCTACATGTTCTCTAAAGCCAAAAAAAACATGCCTTGAGAATCAAAGATGATTTTTAATTTCTCCACCACTAAGAGTAATGAAGTTGTCTGATTATTTTCAGTTTTACAAATCCAAGAATGGAGATGAGCTGTGCTTTGTGACACTTTGGATTAGTGAGTAGATCATGAACTAGTAGGTATCACAAGAGAACGTTTTACTTAATGGTTTTAGAAATCACCATGTTTAGCCAGATCTGATATAGCTGTGTGCATTAAGTCAGCTTAGATCTTAGATGAGTGTTTTTTTTTTTTAATACTCAAAGAGTTTAGATGTAGAATTTTAAATATACATATAAATACTATAATAATGATCTCACTGACGTTCTGGTAATTGCCAGTTTTGAGCATGTTCTTATTTCCCTTGCTACATTGGATTCATTTTGGTTGAAGTATGACGTTAAAGATAGTTTTAACTGAAAACACCATTCTTTGGTCTCAGGAGCTTTCCTTCCCTCTGCCCCATCCCAAAAGTCAACAAAGGGCATCCCATAGCAAAGGGAATTAGAATTCTTCATAGATGTATAAAAAGGTACGTATCTCTAGATTCAGTAATTCCGCAAATATTTATGGAGCATTTTCTGTGTTCCAGACACAATTTGAGGGATACAGTGCTTAAATACAGGTTCTTGGTTTCATGGATAGAACTTTCTTTTTGTTAGGTACAGAGAGATACAAAACAAACAAGAAGCCATTAGGTAATAAAAGTCCCTGATAAATAAGCAACAGAGCCTGCTTTAGAGTGGGTAGTCATAGCAGGCCTTAATGAGCAGATGGCATTCAAGCTAAGACCTAGATGACAGGAAAGGGTCAGCTTTGTGAAGATCTAGGGAAACAGTAAGAGGCTTTGATCATCCTGGCATAATCATCCTGAAGTCAGAACCAGCTGGTAAGTTCATGGAGCAGAAGTTGGGTGGGAAGGGCAGTGGGAAGGGAAGACAGAGTTAGAGAGGCTCTGATCCCTAGAGGATCAGCTAGGGAGCATCTTAGCCCATGACAAAGTACTGGAAAAGCATTATCAGACTTTACACAGAAGGTATCATTTGTTCTAATTTGCTTTTAAAAAATCAGCCTAGTTGCTTTCTGGATAATGGATATTGGGGTGGGAGGCAAGAACAGAATAAAATGTTCATAAGGAGGCTGGCTATTGGCTACAGTTGTGGAGATGGCAAGAAGAAGGTAGATTTGGGGTATGTTAAGAGATTATAGAATTTGCTGATGAATTGTTTGTGGTGGGGGGAAGGAGGAATGAAGATGACTCAGAAGTTCGGCTTGAGCAACTGGGTGAGATGTAAGAATTCTGGGGCAGGAGTGTGTGTGGGTTTAGCTGGTGGGAATGGGTCGTCAACAATTAAATTTCAAGCATTCCAAGTTTAAAATGCCTACAAGGCAATTCCACAATTATAAATTTCAACAGAAAAGTCAAATCTGGAAGTAAAACGTTGAAAGTCATGGTTGTCATTAAGCTCTGAAAGAGGTTGAGATTATTTAATGAGCAAGTGTAGAGAGAGACAAGAAGGCATGTTAGGGCCAGCCCCAGGATAATGTGATATTTGGAGTGGAAAAGTGGAGGAGGATCCTGCAAGGCTACAGGAAGTGGGCAGAACACATGGGGAGTGCTTGAACAAAAGGGTGTTAAAGGGGGGCATGGCCAGAGATGAAGAAGGAAAAAAAAAGGAGGGCATGGCCAGTTGTGGTTACACTGCTATGAGACTGAATGAAGTGAATTTATGGAATTGTGAAAGATCCTCTTAGAATTGCCCAACAAACAGTGCTCACTTTGGCAGCACATATACTAATTAGAATTTAATTTATCTAACAAACAGGATACTTTGAAAACCGGGGAATCCTGAATTCAAAACTCTAGATATAGTACAAAATAGATTGCCTTTGGTTAACTAAATGAATAAATAAATGCAAATCAGTTCAAACTTTGAGATCTTTTAAATTTTTATTTGGGGGAATTAAAAATATTTCCAGGTATTTGTAATTTATTAGAAAGACCATATAATTGTTTGGATGAGGGTAACACGGAAGAAATGCCAACTCTCTCTCCACTCTGACTCTAGTAGCCTGGGAGCTGTATTCTTGTTAGAGCATTAGGTCTAGGCACACCCCCTCCCATGTGTCCTTTTTAGGTGATACAAGGCAGAGAATCTCTGCTTTACCAGATGGAAGACTTACTGTGTGGTTCTCTATAATAGGGAGGAATCTCAGTATCCATTGCTCCAAATTTTATAGGACTCAGTCTTTGTGCTGGGGGCTCTCATAATGAAGGAGGAGTGAATGAATACTGTGTATGTTACCAGGTGTCCGTGGTGGCTGGAGGATAGAAGGCCTATAGACAGATGGCATGGCCTCTTCCTGAGAATCAGCAGTGGTGAACAATAGAAGTAAATGGTGGTGGTGTAACGTGCATTCTTTTCTCCTCAAAGCTCAGGACACCTACCTTATTAAATATTTCCTCATCTGGCTTTGATTGTCTACAGGGTTCATCAGTGTCCCTCTCGAGGTCCAACAGTCGTGAACACTTGGGAAGTGGAGGTGAATCTGATAACTGGAGAGACCGAAATGGAATAGGACCCACAAGTCCTAGTGAATTTGCCGCTTCCATTGGCAGCCCCAAACGTAAACAGAACAAATCAAGTGAGCTTTGACTTTTCATCATACTTTTAGATGTAATCAGTCTGGAATTTGCCCATTTGATTTAGGGTGATGCTCAAATATAAACTCTGAACCCCATGCCTTCAAGTATTTGGCATCACATGCCACCTTCTCTATGAAGCCTTCCTTATTTTTCCAGGTGAAGCAGATGGTGGAGTTCTCTGTTTCCACTGCGTTTTGTCTGTGCTTTCACTTAGCACTTGTTACACTCATTCTTGTTATACCTGTGGATAATTTGAGCTCTACCAGCTAGGAACCATAGTTATCCATTCAGTAAGAACTTACAAACTGCCCGTGTGCCGAGCATTGTTAGGCAGAGGCTTATTTGTTATTTCTTCCCAAATATCTAGCAGTTCTGACACAGATAGGCACTCAGTAAATGTTTGTTGAGTGAATGTATGGATGAGTCATGCTCCCACAAACATCCAGATGATAAGGAAAAGACAGGGCTGTAAAGGAGTTGAGCCAAATGAGATCAGATTAGCATCTTGGAAAATAAAGTCTGCCCAGTGGGTAGCTACTAAAGGTGAAGAGCAAGTTTTAATTTTTTAAAATGACAATATGTAGCCAGGTTGGCATAAATAGGAAGAAAAAGTTTAAAGCATACAGGTTCTGGCTTTGAACAAATGTGGTGAAGACTCAGCATGCGTCTATTGGTTTTGTCTGTAACAGCTCTCACACTTCTGGGCTGTATAAATAGGTAAGCAGACAAGAATTGACAATAGTAATCACAAGATATTCCCCTAATGGCCTTTTTCAGGGTTTTTGATGAATTTGGGATCCTGAAACATAGTTTGGAGTATTTGAAGAATACTTGAAGAAAGGCAATCTAAGTGAGTGTAGTGGACACTCAGTAACAGTCAGTTGTTGCCATCAATTAGGTTGGCTATTTTATCAAGAGTCTCCGATTTGAAAAGGCCAGTCATGGTGTCAGCCAGCTCTAAAAAAAAAAAACACATTCCAAGTGTATTATCAGTAGTAGCCAGGTAACTTGTGTGGGCAGGGCACCTCACCACTGACAAGAGCATGGAGCTGTGAGGCAGGCTGGTGCCAGGTGCAGATCTAGGGGTGGAAATGATCTCTGTTCTGTGGCTCAATATAAATTCGTTTTGTGCTTCTTTTTCAGTCTTTATCTCCTTTCCCTTCACTTAACACTGGATAATTAAAATTGACTGTACAACTTAGCTGCATTGAAGTTCAGGATGAGAGTTAAGATAGGGAACTCATTAATAAAAAGGAATGATTAAGGAAAAACAGGTGTTTGGCTTTTGTGAGATGCTTTAAAAACATAAGGAGTTTAAAAGAGATTATAAAAACTATAAATAGTTATGATAAAAAGAAATATAAGGGAAATTATGTGTCATAATAAATATCACTTAAGAACATTTAATTTTGAAACCTCTGTTTTTTCCCCAGTTTTACTAACATATTTGCTTAACCCAACATATGTAAAATATTATTTAAACATGTAATCAATGTAAAGACATTTTTATGAGATATTTTACATTCTTTTTTGTACTAAGTTTTTAAAATCTGGTACGAATAGATCTTATAATCTTGCAGAACATTTCAATTCCCACTATCCACATTTCAGAAATTCAGTAGCCACATGTGGCCAGTGGTTACTGTATTGAAGACCACAGTTGTAGATGATTTTTCATGACATCCTTTTCAAAGTTAGCAATGTCTAGGTTTTTCTCAGAGCCTGTTAACAGGAGTTGTACCATTGTGATTCTCAGTAACTCCCTCTTCTGTTCTCCAAGTAAGTAAATTTATTGTTTAAACAGTAAATTATATGGTTAGCCTTTCAGTAGCCTTCATCTTGTCAACTCCAGTGGTTACTCCCATGTGCTCTTTGCATTCTTGCTTTGTGTCAACCTCGAGCCAATACCTCACTGGGTTGATGACTTTGGGTCTTCCCTTTAAATGGTGGAATGCTCCAGGGCTTGGTCCTAGGTTCTTTCATCTACACTTTCTCCCCACAAAAGATAAAACATCTGTTTTTTAATTTATATTTTTAAATTTCTGTTTTTATTATTTTTTTATTATTTTTGAAGGAGAGAGAGTGTGAATAGGGGAGGGACAGAGTGAGAGGGAGACAGAAGATCTGAAGCGGGCTCTGTGCTGACAGGCACTGTGCAGACAGCCTGACCTGGGGGCTCCACAAACTGCCAGATAATGACCTGAGCCAAAGTCCTATGCTTAACTGACTGAGCCACTCAGGCATCCCTTAAATTTTTATTTTAGGTAGGCTCCACACCAAATGTGGGGCTTGAATTCTACCCAGAGATCAAGAGTTGCATGGTGCACAGACTGAGCTAGCCAGGCACCACTAAAACACCTATTTTTAAGAGAAAGAGAAACTTGATCAGGAAATTCCTTCCACTTGAAATATAGAAAGAATATGTACTGTCATTTGGGAAATGAAATGACCAGAGAAGGTGATTAGTGGCAAACAAAACAATCTAGAACAGGATTCTTAGATCTGGAGAATGCATTGGCCGGAGGAGATAAGATGTATCTGATTAGCTAGGTGGGCATCCTCTGCCCTCATCAACCTTGGAATCATTCCTGCAGCTGCAACTTTGGTATAAGGGGAAGAATTCCCACATGGATAAGAGCTAGTTGTTGGTCAGGGAAGTAGGGATAGCTGCAGGGCTCTACTGGGCTCTCCAAAACAGCTCTGGGAGAGTGTTTCAAATATTCAATATTTGGTCAAGTACTTGGTATGACTCACCAGTCCATCACCCAGCAGTGAGTGTTATTGGGTCTGAGTACCACAGACAATGTGGAGAAATCTTTGCCCGCCAAATCAATGGCGGAGCCAAGGTTAAGTCTAGTTTTGCTGTCTTAGAATTTTTTTCAGTAGACAGATTCATTTCTGTCATAAACCAGAAACTCCAGTGCCATTCTTAAACTTTGCATTTGCTCTTAATTTTGGAAGCACTCTGTTTTGTGAACTCACTGCCTAATTATATTTTTGTAAGGGATGAGATTTACACGTTGCAATATCCTGCAATTCCTTTGACCACAGGAAAACACAAGTGTGGACACAGAGGGCTATCCTGCTTTCCAAAAGGAGCCTGGACTCAGTAACTTCCCATACCTTTATTGTATCCTGGGGATCTTTCTTCCAGTTTCTCATTTAATTCATATCAATTATGAAGAGCAAATGTTTCTGAATGCTCAGGAGAATATGATTAATGATTATTAACTACAGAGGCACTGTTGGTGAATTGCTGCCTCCCAAGTGTAACATTTTAATGGCAAGAGCCTCTCTAAAGCAATAACCAGCATTTCATTAACGAAAAGCCAATGTTTCAGTAAGGAATTACAGTATTTCTGCAATTACTGCTCTATTCAGTCCAACAGTGAAATCTAAAATATTTGAGTGATTAAAATTTTTAATTAAACCGTGTTGTCTCTGGGCATTTTCACTTGAAGCCTGCCTCTCCTTTGTCTTTCAGCGGAGCACTATCTCAGCAGTAGCAATTATATGGACTGCATTTCTTCACTGACAGGAAGCAATGGCTGTAACTTGAACAGCTCTTTCAAAGGCTCTGACCTCCCTGAGCTCTTTAGCAAACTGGGCCTGGGCAAATACACAGATGTCTTCCAGCAACAAGAGGTCAGTCATTATTTATTTACTTTCCTGGGCATCTTTGTTTTGGTTGTGTGTATGACTACTTCTAGAATGAAATGGCTTACTGACCTATGGCTGTGCTTTCACTGAGCACTTATTAAAGCCTCATAACTTGTTTCCACTGCTAAGAAAAATGTCATCTCATTTCTTATTTATTTAGTGCAACTAGTAAACACAGGTTAGCAGAAATATAGAAAATTGTGTTTCCAAAAACACACCTCCACTAGTTTTAGCTAAAATACCCAATTGGTGTATTGATTCATGTGAACGTTTGATTCACGACTCCCCTAACAGCAAAGTCTGTATTTAAGATTATTTCACTGTTTAATCCGTATTATCTTTATTTGTGGTTCTTAAATAACAGCATCTGAAATAAATATCCGTGGTTGTTTTTGACCCCATCCTAGTCATATTACCGAATCTGTTCTCACAAAATAGAATGTGCTTTTTATATATGTTAATTTATTCATTAATTTACTGTTTGGGTTTTGCCTGAACTGAGACAAAAATAAGATGTTTTCTGAAACATCACTACCATGGATTTTGACCAAACTGATCAGCCAAATTATTATGCACTGACTTAAAGAGAAGAGCCCTGAACACGATTCTTTCTAATAATGCTGTCATTATTGCTAGGGCATAGCTAACCCAGTGCAACATAAAATTAGAACACTTCAATAAATGTATGTATTTTTCAAGTCCAGACATGGTTTTTAAGTTTCATTCCAGTTTGGCTTATTTCATGTTAGAGAACATCTGATTAAATCCATAATTCCCAAGCATGTATCTCTCAAAAAGAATCTAACGTTAGGCCTTTGTATCATAAATTTAATGTATTGCCCATGGTTCAATAACTTATTAAGTGTAATTGTTGAACTTTGTTTTTTAACACCAAACACAAAAAAAAAGGTTGTCATCTGTGTGTTGGATTTCAGCGTATTGATTTCATTGTCTTTTCCCGAAATCTGAATTAGTGTTCATTTAACTGAGGATTTTCTAAGTTGCACTCATCAGTGTGTTAAAAAATTTCATTTACGTATTTAGCTTTGCTGGTTAGACAAGTGTAGCTGATCGAGAAGCTCAAGGACAGAAGTATTTTAATTAGTCCAGAAAAAGAAGGTTTTGAAGTAAAAGACTGGGTGTTATTCAGTGATATTCTGGATTTTTTAAAATTTATATTTATTTCTTATTTGAAGAAGCATAGAAATATATTAAATGTACTTCTTATTGAATTAATCTAAGAAGGAAGAAAACATAATATAAAGCCAGACTGCCTTTATCTAATATTTATTCACTACAGCAGGGGTCAGCAAACTGTAGCCTGCACACCTGCCTTTGTTAATAAAGTTTTATTGAAACACAGCCACACATTCATTTACATATTGTCATATTGTCTATGGCTGTTTTTGAGCTAAAACAGCAGTGTCAAATAGTTGCAACAGAGATAGTATGGCCCACTAAACCAAAAATATTTCATCTCTGGCACTTTAAAAAGAGGGGATCCCTAAAATAAAGAATATATATTTAATAGAATTTCTAAAAGCATATCTTTAGAAATGATAAATGAAAAGGTTTTCCAGATCTGGATGTACTTTCCAAAATGAAAACAGAAAATCTCAAATTAATTTCTGTATCATTTGAATGAAAAGTATAAATTCGGTTCTGTTTCCTTCATGTAGGATATTCTCTAATACTCAAATACGACTTAAAAAGAATTTATTAAGTGAGCTTGTGAGATTTAGTTTACTATAAGCAGGTTGAAGATTTGTTTAGCTGCTTTCACAGATGATATGTCTAAATACATAATTACTAACCATAACTGCCAGTTATTCACCACTGTGGTGAGCCCACTGCTTTATCTCTGCGATCATACTTCATGCCCACTACAGCCCTGCAGCGTGCAGTATGTCAGCCCTGAGTGCCCACAACTAGTAACAGCAGAGGCGGAATAGAGAGCCAAATCTCTCTGGCTTCAGAGCCTATTACCTTTCTTCAAAGGAAGGGTGGGATCCTTGGGCTTCCTCCCTTCACAATTTGTTGCTGATGCCAGAGTGTGCAATTATATACCAATATATACTTGTAGGCCACTTTCAGAGATAACATGCTAGACCGAGCCAAGTGAATCATGGGTCTGATGTAGTCTGGGAATTCTTCTACCATTCTTATGTAGAACACAATGGAGGATAGCATTTATGGTATTATTCAGTTTCTTTTTATAGAACTACACTTAATTCAGAATCCAAAGCCAAGAAATGTTTTCTATCTTCTGGACAGGCATGTATTCTTTTATCAGTTCACAAAACCTGTGGAATTTGTGTTTCCCTTTTTGCTCTGGCTGCCAGGATGCTAAGACCTAACATTTTAATCTCAACTGCAATAAATAACTGGCTTAGACTAAGTCTCCTACTAGAATCATTACTTTCATTTCACCACCTTTATTGTCTCTTGTCCCCTAGATTTGTGACACCATCATTCCTTTTTGGAAGTAGGCAGAGCATAATTAGAAAATGAAATATGTGTAGTAATGAGTTGAACTTCTAATGCACAAAAATAAGTACTTAATATATTGGTTATACATTACTTTTTCACCCACAGATCGATCTGCAGACATTCCTCACTCTCACAGATCAAGATCTGAAGGAGCTGGGAATTACGACTTTTGGTGCCAGGAGGAAAATGCTGCTTGCAATCTCAGGTGAATATAAATGCTCATAGTCCTATTTTAAAATCTGAGTAACCTCTGCCAGTAGCCTCAGCCACTGGGGCTGGTTCTGTCCATCAACCACTTGCTTACTATGCTGGCACCTTGTGGTTGTGGTTCTAGAGTGTTTTCCCACTAACATTGTGACAAATGCCTAGAACATCCCTACTCCTTCCTCAAGGCATTGCCTGAAAACCTGCCTTGACAATGTCGTTCTTTAAAACATCTCTTCAGAAAGACCGAATCAAAGTTGCCCTTTGCAGAACATAAGAATGGGGGAGAAGTTGAATTCTCCTTTCTGTGGTTGTGTTAAGCAAGTATGATTGGACTAGTGAATAATTATTCTGGATTGGCTGTCATGTTTCAAATGCATGTATCCTTGCATACCAACTAAGATAATTGCATCAGAGAAAGAATGATCCTTGGTATAGCTGGAATCTAGTAGTATTGTCTTAATGCTTTTAAGTTTTTCCCAAACTTTTAATAGAATTTGTGAGACACAGAAAGGTATGGAATCCTGAATGTAGTCACAGAATGAAGGAAAATAATGAAGGAAAATAATGTCCCAGACCACTTTTTTTGGTGCACTTATTGCATATTCTAGGTATTAGAAAATGCTTTATGTATATTTACTGGGTATCTTCCATTTATGAGGAATTGAACTGCATGATAAGTACATGACCATGTACTTCCAAATGGTATATAGAAAAATATGACAGAAATTTTAGGGGCAAAAAATGAGGTTACTTTTTGAAGAAGTTCTGATAAAGTTCATTAATGTCAATGTTATATATGTACCAGTTTCTCAAAAAGACAGAGACACCAAGAGCAGAAGCCAAGTGTCAGGTGTGGTGGGAAAATGACTTTGCCTTTTCAAAACATTGATTTTGCAGGCTATGCCTTTGTGAAGCCAACAGTGGCATCTAACCAAGTGCAAATCCTTTCCAAACAATATTCACTAATCAGATCAGCAAATAAAATGGAAACCACTGGTTTTCCATTTTATTTTAGCAGGAGATTGCATCCCCCTCCCAACTCCACGAGAAAATCTTATATATAGACCTAATACCTAAAGCAGATATAAGCAGAACAGCTTTGAAATAAGGGTGGAAATTCAGCCATTGGGCAGCCTGTTAGGCTCCTTCATGGATAGAGTTCTACACGCATCAGTTTGATGAGTCTTCTTCCATCCTTCTTCCAACCAAGTGGTTGCATTAATGGAACTCCACAGGGAAGATGCTTTTTCTTGTTAATAAGATCAGCTTGGTAGAGTGGAAAGAGCACTGTATTCAGATAAAGAGATATGGGCTTTCCTCTGCCAAGTCATTAGTCCTTGGGTGAGTTTCCAAACCTCTTTTGGTTTTGGTTTCTTAAGCATTAAGGTGGATTGGAATAGATGATTGTGTAAGGTTACCTTCCATTTCTGAGGTCTGTCCTTCCCCATGGTATCTCATCAGATGTAGTGGAAATAAACTACAGTTTTAACAGTGTATGGTTATTAGCAGTATATTCTCTTGTTCTTTCTTTTTTTACTACCTCTAGCAATAGGATAGTTTTCAACTTGTTTATAACTCAGCCTTAAAGGGCTATTTCTAGACCCAAATTAACTTTATATATGTTCACATTCTTTTATTAATTAAAAAATAACTATTTGAAATTTAATTAACTCACATAATCACCAAGCCTGTAGTGTTAAAATATGCTTGTGGGCCAACACATTTATACTGGGAAAGTATCTGTTCTGGAATTTGGTAATTTTTCATTAGAGATTTATGGAATGTCAGAGACCATATAATGAAAATTCTTTCTTTGTGCACCCAAACTTTGTAAAGCCTCCAGCAACAGGCAGATCTCTTTAAATCATCAGGATCTTTATTCTGGAACACATTTGTGATGTATTTCAGGTGGGTTTGGGGGAGTAGAGTTGGAAAGGAGGGGTTTTGAAGCTTCTTTAAAATTTTTTTTTTACTCCAGTCATCCTCTGTGTGGTTCTGTTGAGATTACATACTATTTCTTTAGACCGCCTCTCTCAATGGGGTTCACAGGTCTTCTTGCTTTTAAAGGGAATTAGAGGCTTTGAATAGATGTCTTATGAATGTTCTGCATAGTGTGAAGTACTTGATTATTTTAAGGATGATTTTGCCTTACTTTGTTGAGTGCATCTGTTTGAACCTGGTAAATTGTTTTCTCTGCAAGTAATAAGTTTTTAGTGAGAAACCCTTCATCAAAAGCCTTCTTTTTTCAGTTCAGCTCATCTGACCACAAAGGCATCCATTTCTAGTCTCAGAATATTCCATTTCCAGGGGTGGATGCAGGGTAGCTGGGCAGCTTTTACTCACGTTTGTCTTGTGGTTACATAGTTTGGTTAGGTACAGAGTTAGTTCAAAATTCCTTTTAAAAATTTTATAGATTTTTAATCTGTGATCAGGGTTGTTCCTTCAGTATAGGTTTTATTCTGTTTTTAATCTTGGGCCAGAAGACATTTATTTTAATGTCATAGAAGGAGATGAGATTTATCTCTAGTATAGATGGATCAGAGAAAAAAATGATCTTTTTTTTCAAATCTGTGATTTTTTTGAAAATTCTTTGATTTTTCTCAGTATTCTAGTGAGTGATTAACTAAATTGTACAGGGACAAAGTAAAAGGAACTTTAACATCCTATTGACAAGCTTCCCACCACGGCCTCAGGTAGATCTAACATTTCCCGACCTATTCTTTTAGTTTGTGACTCTGTTCAGACCCGCAACAAGATCCTGAGAGCTGCCAGGATTGTGTGAACCTTGGAATTTCAAAGAAAAAGGTTGGTATTTTCCCAAACTATCTCTTAGGCTTACTTGAAAAAAAATCAGGAGGGAGTTTACTTTTTAATGTAAAAAACAACAACAAAAATAAAGTCTCTTCAGTAGGACTTGATCTTTGATAGTCTCTCTAGTAGATTTATCTCTGCTTCACATTTGGAAATATACACCTTAGAAATTATATCTTTAGGGAATGGCCGAATTCCTTCATGATCATTTTATTCTCTCAAAAATCTAGTTGATGTGACTTTTCAGAATAAAGTTTTCAATGTCTTTTTAAAAAATGTGTATGTCTTCAGTGGCCCAATTTCTTCAATTGTGCATGTTAAGTGTGCTAGGGTAGATGCATTCCTATTCCTTCTCTATAGCATGGGAATGTTCTCCTGATTCATGCATTACTCTCTCAGGAGAAAATGAAGGCCAAGACAGTCTTCTTACTAGAAGGTGGATAAAACTTTCACAGGCTGTGTGCTTAATGGGATTCATTTATTCTTAACTTTCCTACAGTTGCCTTTAAATATATTAAATTCTGTCTTGATTTATGAATTTCTGTTTGTTTTTTAAAAACAATACATGTGTTCAGCTTTTAGTAGGAATGTCATAGCTACAGTGTTTTTGCAGAAATTTGAAACAATAGCCATCTATAAGCATGCCTGCATCTTATAAAGATACCTTCCTTGCTGTTCCAGAGTTTTAAAGCTATGTTATTCTATTTAAAAAATAAATTTAGTATAGTAAAATATGAAGTGCAGCTCTGTTATCTGGCATACCTGAAACTACCAAGTTTTCAGATTTGTATTCCTAATGCCTTGGTTGGTCTTTTCTACTCGATGGATGGATCACTGGAGCTCAAGGCCCAGAGCACAGCATTTGCATAGGCAGGCAGAGTTTCAGCCTGTCACTTGACAGCTGTGTGGATAGGTTACTCTTGTCTATTTTGAAAACTCAGTTTTTGTGTCTAAAATGGAGAATGGTAATATCATTTATTCCTTAAGAAGGACTTAAATAGGACAAAACAAATTGTAAAGTGCTTGTTGTTACAGTCGCTACTAAATCACTTATTTTTCTTCTCCACTAAGACCTAACTGTGAACAAAAGAGAGATATTTCCACTCGTGCATCACCTCAATGGGGCAGATGTTAACATTTTGGAAGGCAGTGGGGTGAAGTGTTAGGGTGTTGGTTCATGTTCCAGAACTCAGGAGATAAGTGCACATCTGGCCATATGGCTGTCCTTAGCCACCTGTGACTGCTCTGCAACTTGAGTCTGTTGTTTTCAGCTCCAGCACTAATGTAGCCATAGCTTATGCAACCTCAGAATTGGAAAAGGAGATTGTGTGTATGTGTGGTTAAAAAAGTTCTGAGTACTGTGCAAATGCACATGCTGAACCACTGGCTCCACCCCCTCAAGAAAAAAAAAAGACAACTTTAAGCACATCAACTATATAATCCCATTATTTGATACTTGCGTTTGGTGGCTGTCAGAACCCTAATATCCAGAGTCTGACAGTTCTCTTTATTAGCAAGAGTTACATTGGTTTATTTGAGGATTTGTAAATGTATGTGGTAGAGGGTGGGGAGGAGTGATGTTGCATAGGGATAAACAAGATGGGCTGCCTCTGTTAATTTTCTACCTTTCTGATTAACAGTTTCTATTTGACAAAAGACAAAGTAAACTTTTTTTCTAGGTACTCTGGTTTCTTTACAATTAAAATAAAGCATCTTAGTTTTTCCTCAGAATTTGGATTCAACTGTTAGTATTTTTACTAAGTTGATTATTATATTCAAAGAAAACTGCTGCTGATAGACTTCTTCATATAACTCTTTCTGACCCAAGGAGCAGAGACATCAGTGGAGCCACTGGGCTGTGGCTTAACACTTCAGCGTGCTCCTCCATTATTTTCTTGTTTGTGTGTGAGGTCTTCTTTTCATGTCTGACTTCAATAATCTAGTGATGGCTGTGTTTCACATGGATGAGTTCAATAGCTGTAATAATTTTCTGTGTCGTTGGTAATACATTCTCTCTTATGCCTTTCACCAGCTTTGATGGGCCCCTCCCTTTGCCTCTGAAATGACATTTGGGATAGTTCAAACTGTTCAATTTGTATATCTGGAGTATAGAGGGTTCTGAGAATGACATATCTCCCAGATAGTTTACAAACTGCAATAAAAATGATTTCCTGTCCTTGGTTCTCCTGCTACCAAAATGCTGTATTTAATATCAGACCTTCTAGCAATTTCAGAAATGTTTTGACCAGCAACTAAAACTTTTCCTTTTGATACTAGATTTGACTTCCCCTCCAAAACCCTACTGTCACCATTTTCTGAGCTCTACTGCCATGTCCCGTTGAGCTTCTCCATTGATCTCCTAACAATTCTCCCTTTTTCTTCCTAGAACTGAATAAAAATCGAAGAAAGCTTTTTGAACCACCAACTGCACGCACCTCTTTCCTGGAAGGCGGAGCAAGTGGGAGGCTACCCCGTCAGTATCACTCAGATGTTGCTAGCGTCAGTGGCCGCTGGTAGCAGTACGTACCTCCAGGTACACACCACCACCTCTGTCGAGTTGGACACAGGAGATCTGTGAACTGCCTTCACTGCACACCGTCCTCAGTACTCTGGGTGTCTGGTATCAGGACCAAAGCATCTTATTCACACCTGAACTTTGTGCCAAAAAGGAAGAAAAGAGAGGAGATGATCTTACGTCATCATACAGACTGCCACACTTGGATGCCTTTTTTTTTTAATGGCAATCGGACAGAATTTGCAATTTGAGGGTAGGGCTTTATTTCCTATTTTTATTTACCTAAATAACATATGCACTGATTTTTTACTTAAAATGAAGGATTAATTGACATCTGGAATACCAGAAAACATAGAGGTTCTTTTGTTTGCTTGTTTTGTTTAGGCATTTGGGGATTTTAAAAAATAATCAAAATGGAATTTTCTGGTACTGCTTTAAAATAATTATTGAGGGGCGCCTGGGTGGCGCAGTCGGTTAAGCGTCCGACTTCAGCCAGGTCATGATCTCGCGGTCCGTGAGTTCGAGCCCCGCGTCAGGCTCTGGGCTAATGGCTCAGAGCCTGGAGCCTGTTTCCGATTCTGTGTCTCCCTCTCTCTCTGCCCCTCACCCGTTCATGCTCTGTCTCTCTCTGTCCCAAAAATAAACATTGAAAAAAAAATTAAAAAATAAAAAAAAATAAAAAAGTAAATAAAATAATTATTGAGGTCTTTCAGCACTTTACACTTTGTAATTTCTTGTCCTGTGGAAATTATCCATCTTTCTCTCATTTTCATGTCACCTGATGTATTGGTACAAATCAGATTTAGTCATATTTTTCTGACTGTAAAATTTTTATTTGAAATGGTACTGGATTATTAGTTTTATGCTGAGTATTCTGTGACTTTGGGAAATGCAAGTGACTCCACTTGGTTCTGGACCAGTTCTGTTCATTGATGTCAGCATCCTAGAAACAATTAGCAATGAACCTATTTCACATAACAGGTGCAAAGAAAGACCAAGTGAACTTTGCAATATTAACCCTTTGCAGTCATCATATTTAGCTGCTGCCTGTATTGCTAAAATGATTTTAATGGTTGTCTGAAGGCAAAGGGCTATTCTTTAGTATACTGCCACTAAAGGACACTTATTTATATCAAACTTTTATTTTTAGATGTTATAAGCATACAGTACATAACTGATTAAATTGATATCTTACTAGAGATTTATGGTAGAGAATGGACGGCATTCAATAACTGGAGCCCTAGATTGTCACTTTATTTAAAAAAAGACAAATAATCATCTGACAAGACAGCACTGTTGCCATTAAGAGGAGAAATAAATTGCTATCCTTATCATGTACATATTAGCTGTCCTCCATATGGTCACAGGACTTTCTAAAACCATATCTGTCTGCTTGAAGTAGACTTGTGTTTGTTGAGAACAGAAAGGCTTTATTTAAGTTTCCAGGGTGACAGTTTATAAAAACAGCTGAGTTCCAAAGGAAAGCAAAAAGTAAAAAAAAAAAAAAGAAAAAAAAAAAAAAAAAAAAAAAAAAAAAAAAAAAAAAAAAAAAAAGGACTGTTTTCTAAGTGGCTAGACTCATTGTTACTATCTTATACTGTGAAAGTCCAAGAAATCAGGCAACATTGTTTCTTAGGTCTTTTCAGACATCTTATTGTAGATGAATGAAAGGTTTTCAATCCATGAAGAAAATCGCCAAGTGCCTTTCCTTTCTTCAAAGCAATATTATTTCCAAGTGTATTAATTTGTTGGAAAATTTTCCCATAGGAAATGTTGTGAATTACCTGTACTGTAATGACTTATTTATGTTCAGTATTCAAGACTTTCTCCATGGACATAAACCACTGTCGTATATTCTCAGCAGAAGGCATTACATAAGCGTACATAATTGACGACTTTCATACAAATGTGGGATCAGACAGATTCACCAGACATTTTTCCATGACTAAGTCTTACCATTAAAGTAAGAAGAAGAGTTGAAGAGAAGTTTTGCACACAGAAAAATTTTCACCTTAAAAAATAATATTTGTAACCTAGAAGGTATAGATAATGGGCCTGTCATAAAATTATGTCAGTTACAACATTACCAAGGGGATGCCCATTTCTAAACTAAATCTTACGTGCTTAAGTATAAGAACTAAGTTGCTCCTTTTGCAAGTACAACAGAATCACCCTGTGCAACATGTCGCTCCCTGCCTTACATGGCTATATGAACACATCATGCCACACATTCAGCACGGGGTAGGAATTCAGATTTGTTTCCTATTGAACAACTCAGTGCCTTAAATTTTACTTAATAAGAGCTTCCAAAAAAAAAAAAAAACCTAATGATTTAGAGCTCTTTCCCAAGCTCTCTATCATGCAGTTGCAATAGAGGAAGATAGAATGAATTTGCAGTATTAAGTCAATACAGGTTTTATGAACAGTGCTTTGATGCTATGCCAAAGAGAAAACTGTCCCAATTAAACTAGATTAAATAGGGTGGCTAAAAATAAACAAAAACACTGGAAATTACTTTTCTCACTTTCTCTTGATGCAATGAAGGGAATATGACACTACAGTCTATGGTGTTGTCAGTGTTATATGATGCACAAAATATTTGGATTATTTGAATAAATGTTAGTTTTTAATCAATCTGTGCCTTAATAGTGACCGGTTATCTGTAAATAGAGAACAGATACAGATTGTATTTTTGTGTGGGTTTTTGTCCTTTTAGTGATTTTTTTTAATGAGCAATGGAATTAAGCATTGAAAATGGGAATTTTTTCTAAAGTAATCAATTGTTATATGAAAAATAAATTTATATAACCCCTTTGTATTGCCCTTGCTAGATGAAATGTGTCTTTCTTTAGAAAAAAAATCTTTGCATAAACCTTATGCCTGTCTTTGTTTTCTAAGAAAGCTTTTTTTTCCCATTTTCAGCAGAATGAAAGATGTTTCTGCAGTAGAATTGAGTTTGCATTTTCTCTCCTGTTGTTTTGCGTTGACTATCCTCATTTTCAACCAGAAGCTAAGGTACTTTATTTTAGCCAGGGAGTCCAGGACCAGTAATCAATCATTGTTTCTCTGGCCACCCATACGTATATACAAAAAGAGTAAGATTACAGAACAGATTTTGTTATTGTTCTTCTTTGTTTTATAAAGAGTCAAATATCTGACCACTGTGACAATCTCATCCATCAGGAGAGGAGCTCCTTCCTAAAGTCAGCTGGGCTTCTTGACCCAGGTTCCTGTTCCAGACACTGATCATGGTGCTGTCACACTGCACGCTGAACACTCACTGCGCCTTGCCCTGAGATTCTGTGTGAACTCATTCTCAGATGGAATCAGTGTCTTATTACTAGTCCTGAGATTTGTGAACTCTCAGAGAAACCCTAACCTTCCAGTTACTATGCTTCCAGAAATATCTCCACTTGAATTACCTGTGCCAGTGGTTTTTTCAAAATAGACAATCTTTGAAAACTGAAATATTACCTATAAACCCAATAGTAAATTATTCATCCAATTACTCATTTTTTACATATATACATAGGGATTAGTCAGTACCAGGCCCTGTTCTAGGAACATCAGTAAATGGACATAAACCCTTGTCCTTATGAAGCTTACATTTGAAATGGAAAATGGTGGAGCCAATGGACTGGAGGATGAATTATCCCCAGCCTTCAACACAGACCTCCACAGGTTTATGGCACCAGGATTCCTGCATCCATCTAGAAAGCCCAGAGTCTCATAAAACTGCTGAAAGGGCCCATCTTGTAGCAATGTGCCTGTGCTTTCAAATGCAGTATTTCTGTCATCTGCCTTGTGTTTTCAGAGGTTTACTGAGATCCTCAAAAGGATTGTGGCCAAACGGTTATGACCCACAGCTTTATAGTTATATGACCCATAATTTCTTAGATTTGACTCCAAGTGACTTTGCAATATTTAGAAGTCAGGTTCACCTTGAGAGAACATGAGTCTGCTACAACTGAGGACGCTCTGAGAATGTAGTAGTAGAGAGTGAGGCTACCTATATGATGACATACATTGTTCCTGACTTTTCTCTCCCACACAAGAACAACTAACAACTATTCATGGACAAGACACCACTCAGAAAATCCTAGAACACCGATATCACACCACCCCAACACTGACAGCTCAATTACCTTTCCCCTAAATAGACTCCAATAGCAGGCCCCACTGCCCAAGAATGTTACTCCAGTACACAGGTCCAGAAACCCAAAGTGAGCTGACTGATGAAGTACTGTCTCTGCAAAGTGAACTTGTGAAGTCTGGAAGAGGAGACAACTTCAATACTCAGATACCAATGTAAGGATCACAAAATCAGGTAAATATGACACCACCAAAGGAAACCCAAAGCTAAAACTAATAACTGACCTTAAGGAAATGTAAATCAATGAACTATCAGGTAAAGAATTCAGAATAATCCTCTTAAAGAAGTGTAATGAATTCGAATAACACACAGCTAAACAAAATTAGGGTAACAATGCATGAACAAAATAAGATGTTCAGCAAAGAAATAGTAACTATAAGACACAAATCCCAGAGCTGAAAAATACAGTAACTGAAGAATTCTCAAGAAAGAGATGGAAAGGGAGATTCAACTATGCAGAAGAAATAATCAGAGACCTGAAATTTCTTAGACCTTTGAAATTATCAAGTCAGAGGAGCAAAAAGAATAAAGAGTGAAGAAAGCTTAGAGGACATATGGAACACAATAAAAACAATATTAACACACACACAAAAACACATGAGAATTCGAGAAGAGAAAGGAACAGTGTATTTAAAGAAATAGCTGAAACTTTCCCAAGGAAGGGAGAGAAATAGAACATCATACTCAATGGTGAAGAGTTGAAAGCTTTTCCTCTAGGATCAGAAACAAGACTGTAGTGACCACTTGCACCACTCCTATTCAACAAAGTACTGAAAAATCTTTGTCCAAGCAATTAGGCAAGAAAAAAGAAAATATCAGTATTGGAAATGAACAAATAAAATTTTCTCT